CCACCCTGTAAATTGTCCCTAGACTTCTCTCCTGGGTTCCCAGTCTGTTCTCCCCCTGCTCCAGCCCTGCCATCCTCCCCATCAGGTGACCCCCAGCCTCATTCTTCCTCCAGCCACAGAGCATGCTTCCTGGACATTGCTGGTCACCACCCACTGGCATCCCAGGACCAATGGGTTCAGCTTGGGGTGACCCCACTGAGACCGCCACCCCCTGAAGTCACAGCCCTTTCACTGCCCAGGCCTGGGCCTGGGACTTTTAGGACTTCAGTGATGAGGTGATGCTGCTGATGTGGGCAATGGTGAAGAGGGGTAGGAAGGTGGCACTGACACGAGCGATGGCGGGGATGGGGCTAGGGTAAGGACTGAAAAAGGAAGAGGAGGGAGACAAGACGGCAAGTGAAGTCAGGCGTGGCGGTACAAGCCTATAATCCCAGCCTTCAGGGAGGCTAAGGCAATAGGATCACAAATTCAAAGCCAGCCTGGGCAATTTAGCAAGACCCCACCTCAAAATAAAAAATAAACTAGGCCTGATGGCGCACAGCTATAATCCCAGCACTCTGGGAGGTTGAGGTGGAAGGATTGCATGTTCAAGGCCAACCTGGGCAATTTGGCAACATGAGACCATGTTTCAGAAACTAAAAAAAATGGAGCTGGGTGTGGTAGCACATGCCTGTCATCCCAGCACTTGGGAGGCTGAGGCAGGAGGATTGCCATGAATTTGAGGTCACTGTGGGCTACACAGTCAGTTCAAGGGCAGCCTGAACCCTATGCAGCAAGACTCTGTCTCAAAAACTGGGGGGAGTGCTGGGAGTGTAGTTCAGGGCAATGCCCCTGAGTTCAATCCTTAGTACTGAATAAATAATAAAATAAGATAAAATAAAATAAAATGGAGCCTAGCGTGAACAAGGTCCTAGGCAATCCCCAGCACCACAAAATCAAAATAATAAAAAGGGGCTGGGTATGATGGTGCTTAGTGGTAGAGTGCCTCTGGATCTGATTTCCTGTACCCTCAAAATAAAAGGGGGCAGGGAGGTGGAGGGGAGAAGAGGGGAGGAGAGTGAGGCTGGAGACAGGGACCTAAGGTTAGGGGGAGGGAGAAGGGGGTTCTCAGCAGTGGGGGGGGGTCTGGGAGCCCAGGGCGCCACCACAGCTGCAGGGGACAGGGTATAGGCTCAGGAGTGGGGGGCCAGGCCCAGGGCTGCCCTCCGCACTGCTCCTCCTCTCCCAGCAACACAGCAAAAGGGGCAGCAGCTGTCCTCTAGCGTGAGGTCTGCCAAGGTTTTGCTCCTCTCCTTAGACCTCAGGGAAAACTTGTGGGGTGCAGAACAGCCTGGAGGATTGTCCCTCTCTCTCTCTCTCTCTCTCTTTTTTGGTACCAGAGATCGAACTCGAGTCCTTGTGCTTGCGGGGCAGGCAGCAGAACCACTGAGGTAAATCCCCGGCCTGGTCTCTTTTTAAATAGGGTCTTGCTAGGTAGTTTAGGCCTTGAGCCTACTGTGTAGCCCAGGCTGGATTGAAGTTGCAGCGATCCTCCTGCCTCAGCCTTCCGAGTGTTGGAATTAGAGATGTGCACCATCAGGCCCAGCTCTTGAGCCCAGAACAGAGCCTTAGGTGGGCCTGGCTGTGTCCTCTCTTCTCTGAGCTGTGACAAAGGCCCCACCAGACTCCGTGGCCTCCTCTACCCCCAGGAATTTTGCTGCCCTGCCCTGCAGAAGGGCTGGTCTCATGGAGAGCTGGCTCTGTCGGGTGACAAGGGGGCTCCTCCCTCTGCTGGAAATGTCATTCACAGAGGTCTGGTGGTAGCTTTGCAGCCAGGCCAATGGAGCCTGGAATCCCCCTTCTCTCAACCTGGGGCCAGACAGGCTGGTGGTGGGTGCCACCTAATTCGTAGACTGCACTGGCCCTTCACTTGCTCTGCTTCACACATGGGGAAACTGAGGCAAAGCCTAAGCCTCATCTGCCCTCTGCCAGCAGCCACACAGATGGACAGATGAATTCCACCTCTGGGGAGACCTCCTTCCCTTTCCCCTCTGCAGGGTCTCTGCAGGGTCTCTGCAGGGTGCCCCATGCCACCCATCCTGCCCTGCCAGGATTCCCCCACCAGGACAGGCTGTTGACTGCAACTCAGTGGGAGCTGGGAGGGCTTCATACCAGGTAAATCCACAAATCCCTGACCACAGGCTGAAGGGCAAAACAAAATACCCAGCTGAATCAGCCTGAAGGCATGTGGGTGTGTGGTGGGGTGGGCACTGGGCTAGCGTCAGACCCTGCTGTGCACACCCAGAGGGGCTGGGCCAGCAGCAGCTTGGGTATAGGGCTGAGGGTCTGTTGGGAAGGGGATTCCCCTGGCCAGCACTCTCTTGGCACCTGCCCTTAGCTCACCCATCCATCCCCAGCGCCCCCTTCCATGCCCCAGCCCTGTCCCCCACTCCAGCTCCCTCCCTCCCGCGTCCAAAGGGCTCCCTCTCCCCACATTAATCTCTGCCCCTGCTCACTGCTGACTCAAGCTAAATGGAGTTTGCCTTTTCCCCTCTCGGCAGTTTTCTGTTGGCAAAGCAAAAAGGATCGCAGCACACATTCACCTCGGCCTCCCGCCCAGGGAGGGCTCGGGAAACCCAGGATTCCCGCGTGGCATGGCATGGGTGGCCGTGCACACAGCCCGCGCACATCCGTCCCCCAGCCAGGCCGGCCATGTGCCTGCCCTCCTGTGCCTAGCTCTGCGGCTACACACAGCCCCTCCCTCCCTGGGGTGACACACACAGGCACGCACTTCCCACAGGTATTCATGGCCCTTGTGGAAGGGCAGGTGCAGTCCTTGTCTGGGTCCCACGGGTCCATCAGTAACCCACAGTGACAAACGGGGACATGGCTGAGTCAGAAAGTGGGACCTAAAGCCAGGAAGGAGCGAGCAGGGACTGTGGGGCCATCAGTACACAGCCATCCTGGCAGAGGCTTGCTTCCACATTCCCGGCCCCTGCCTTTGCCCAGCACAGTGGGGCTCCGGGGCTTCCCGTGTGGTGCAGGGCTGGGCTGGCACCCAGGGCTCTGAACAAACAGCCCAGGCCTGCTTGTTAGGGTGAACCTGCAAGTTGTGCTCGACCAGTGCTGTGCCCTTGGCCTGTCCCTAAGGCCTCTGGGAGCTGGCTGGCGACTCCAGCGCTGCCACTCGGCCTTCTTCTGGGTGGGCTGCAGATGTCTCAGAGGCTGGGCAGGGCGTTCCATCCCTGTTTGCACAGGGGCAAGGCTACAGTCAGTGCCTCCCAGAGCCCACTGTCTGGGATAGTTTGTCTGCAAGAGTTAGTTCCTTGCTGTCTGCAGTGTGAGCAGCCCCAGGGCAGGCCGAGGGTGTTTGTGGCCCTCCTGGGCAGGTGCTGCCTAGCTAGAATTCTTCACCCAGGGCCCCTGCCTGGGAGCCCCTCCCCCCACAGCTGGGCCCCAGGGACCAGCCCTGTGAGCACTGTGACAGCCACTGCACAGGCGTGCAACTGAGGTGAGGGAGTCGGGGAGCTGGAAGCCCCTTGGCAGATGCCCGCCAGGAAAGGCATCCCCAAGGGGGACCTTAGAGGTCATGAGGCATTTGAACTGGGGACAGGTGTCCTAAGAGGTGGCAGGCACAGCCTCTAGGGGCCCAGGAGCAAAGGCCCAGGCTTGGTAAGAGGCCAGAGGCCGGCAGGTGGGGAGGGTGTGCTTGTGCAGGAGGTAGAGCCCATGTCCGCCTAGGCTGCTCTTCCCTCCTCAGGTTTGGAAAAGTTGTAAGGGTGGGATGGGGGGGCCCCTGCAACATCCTCCCTCCCAGACAGGGCATGCTGACCCTGTCATGCCTGATTATCACATAATGGCCTCCTTGATGCACAGTGTTATTAATCAAATTAATAAGCACTGAGGAGACCTGCCTGACCTTGGCCTGTTCTGCTGAGCTGGGGATTCTCCCGGGCGGGCCAAGGGAGGTTGGTGCACCTGGAGTCCCCTTCCCAGGCTCAGGCTGGGGGGGCCCTTCCCTTCCGCTTCATGAGACACTTGTCTGTGGGTAGATTCAAACTCACGGGCTCACCCTCCGCATACCTCCCACTCCCCCACCCCATATTCACCCCATTCACCCTCTGACTCCCCATACTCACCTCTACTCTCACCCCACACTCTCACACCCCCGGGACCCTGATGCCAATGCTAAAGCGAGCAGGGGGTAATGGGCAGCAAGGCCTGGACCATGGAACCAGAGCCAGAGCAGAGCTGGCTGCTCCCATCTGGGTGGGGAGCCCTCAGCAGGGACTGGACAAAGAGGGGGTCTCTGACTAGGAAGGGGGCTACCTTGCTTTCCTAGGTCTGTTCCCCAGATCCAAGCTGGGCAGATTGGAAGATTCCTTAGGCCATGTGAGTGGGCAGTCACTGCCCCCTTGTGGCCACAGGGACAATACCTGGCCAGCACAGTCTCCATCCTCAGCCCATCGGAGAGGCCCTCCCGTGGCTCCCACCTTGTGCAGCTCAGGACTGCCTCCAGGGTAGCCATTCTTGCTCTCATTGGAGCCCAGGTCCCTACCCCATCCTTCCAAGGGCCCTGGCCTATGGCCTTGGGGGCCATGCTCATTGCAAGACTGCAAGTGTAGGAGATCCGGGGACTCAATGCTGGGGTCTGCAGGGCAGAGGGTGGGACAGCAAGAGCAGGGAGAGGAAAATAAGATGTTGCAGGGGGTGGGTGTTGGCTGGGACCCTGTGCAGAGGGGATGGCCAGCAAGGGAGCTGAGCCTTGTCCCGCCAGGGCTGGGGCAGTAGAGGGGCACCTGGCAGGAGGACCGTGCATGAAGCAGAAGTTCAGCCTTTGTGGAGTAGGGCCTGAGGTAAGGTGTGGGTGGGGCGCAGCATGAGGGGCTTAAGGGGCCTGCTATAGGGGGCAGCATCTCCTGGAGAGGTGGCCTGAGTGAGCACTGTGCCTAGAGGGCACTGGGACACTTCTGGGTGTGGGAGAAGTGCCTACCATCCCCAGTCCTGGGCTCAGACCCACCTTGTCTGACCATAATCTTTAATGTGCATCTCAGCCTTGAGCAGAACAGGCACAGCCTGAAGGTCATTGAAGGTGGGGGACAGAATGTACAGGCCACTCCTGGCCACTGGCCTTCATAGCCCCCTGGATGCCTGGAGGGCACGGGGCCGCCTGTCTCAGGGACAGGTGCCAGAGTCCCCACCAGTGCTGGGCTGGGGACGCCCCCCTGTCTTGTACCAGTTGGTCTTGCGGCTCCAGCCAAGGAGGGGCAGGGGGCTGGCATGCACAGGGGCTGGTATCTCGACACCATACTCTCTCTGGCTCTTCAGAAGTCCCCCTGGGCCCAGCAGAGCTGGCCGGCGGTCCCCCTGCAGCCAGGACAGAGATGGCCATGGTCAGTGCCAAGGCCTGCCCCACAGTGGGAAGCTGGGAGAGGCAAAGCTGTCTTGGAGGTCGCAGGCTTGCTGTGGCTGTGTCCAGGGCTCTGTTGGTGGCCACATGTCACCCAAGCCCAGGGGTGACTGATCTCTGGAAACCTTAAATTCAGGGACAGAGCCCCAGTGAGGCGGAGAGGGGCTTCCTTGGACACAGGGCAGTAGCTGCCAGGTGGTGGCAGCAGCACGGGTGGCTATGGCTGGGCTACCCCTAGTGAAGGCCCCCAACCTGCCGCTTCCTCTCTTGGAGGCCTCTGGAGTATCCAGGTGAAGGGCCAGGGCTTGGGTGCAGCAAGGAGGCTGGGGGCCCCAAGGGGCTCACCGTGCCCCGTGGCTCAGGGTTAGGCAGCAGGGACACCACCTGCAGGCTCACACCCGCCTCGCCCGCGGCCCTCAGCTGCGCCACAACCTCTGCGTGCTTCCACCACTTGCATGGCTGCCCATTCACTGACACGATGTAGTCCCCCTCCTTCAGGCCAGCTGCCTGCAGGGAACACAGACCAATGAGGTGGCAGGACAGCACGCCAGACTGTAGCCCAGGGCTCGGCCTCAGGCCAGGGGGCCCTTACCGCAGCCTGGCCCCCAGGAGCTACAGCAGCAATGAGGACAGGTGAGTCTCCCCGGAGGGTGAAGCCGAAGCCGCCCTCTCCTCGGGTCAAGTGGAGGGGTCCCACCAGCTGCCACCGGTTCTTGGTTGAGAATACAGACAGGGGCCCCTGGAAGAGGAGGGGGAGAGCCTAGCTGGGCTGCAGTCTGAGGGCTTTGAGCACCCCACTTCCAGCTGGATGCCTCGAGACAGGAACTGGTGAGGTGGGTACCAGGGTAGGAGGGGCAGGACCACCACCCAAGAACATCAGGGGCCTGTCTGGACTCCTGTGCTAGGAACACAGCCTGGCTGTGCAGCAAGGGCTGGTGCAAGCAGGGTGCTCACCAGGCGGTGGAAGATGTCAGCCACTTTCATCTGCGACAGGCTGGATGGCCTGACCTCGAGCTTCTGGTGGGTCTTAGCTGACAGGGTGGGAGGAAAAGGAGGAACAGAGGTTAAGTCCAGGGTTCAAGGGCCTCCATACCCCTGAATTCTGCCCCAGGGGAGGGGGTATGGCCCCATGCCCACTGGCTCTTCCTGGGACCTCTGAGCTCCTGCCTTGCTGTCCCAGGGCCCCTCCCTGTCTGTGGGCCTCCCAGTCCCTCCCAGTGGGGTTGTCCTTGTCTGTGAGCCTCTGCAGAGAAGAAGCCAAGTGGGGGAGGAGAGCACAGGCCAGCTGGAGCTCCTGCCCCTCCCAGGCCCTCCTCAGGCTTGTGGGACATGGCCTTGGTTACTGTTTTTTCTGGTACTGAAAATCGAATCTAGGGCTATACCGCAATGCTTGTTTTAAAATTTTTTCAGACACAGACATGCTAAATTGTTCAGGCTGGGCTCAAACTTGTGATCTTGCCTTAGCCTGCTAAACTGCTGGGATCACAGACATGCACCACTGTACCGGACTGGCACCTTTAACTATGACTGCAGGGGTTTGCCCCACCTCTCTTGGCCAGGACTGAGGCCTCACCCTGAGGCCTCACCCACCCTGCTGGGCCCTGGCTGCTCACGCTGGATGTCAGGGGCTTCTGTGGCCTCAAAGAAGTCATCCTCACGCTCAAGCTCTGAGTACTTGGCCAGTGAATGTTGCAGCGCCTGGGCCACTACGGCCTGTAGCAGGTCCACTGTGCGCAGGACACGACACAAAGCATGCAGCCGCAGTGCCTCTTCCTGGCCCAGTATGGCGTGCTTCAGGTGGGCCTTGGCTGTACACAGGGCACAGTGCTATCACACGCAGCCAATTCCGGTCCCCAACCCCTGGGATGCAGCCAGTGTGGGGTATGGGCCACAGGGGCAGCTGGGGAGCTGCCTAGACCAGGAGAGCTTGGCCAGGTAAGAGCCCAGGCAGCCCAAATACCAGGTACCAAGTGACAGTGGGGGCTCCCAGTACCCTCCACCTGCAAAGCCTCACCAAGCTTCCTGCGCTCCTCTGGCTGCTGCGGCAGAGGGGGGCCTCGTGACTCAGGGAAGTGCGGGGGCTGAAAGACCTGCTCATGCGTGGGGAGGGGGAGCTCGCCTTCAGCTGCAGCTGCAGGTCAGAGAGGCTGTGAGTGCTGAGCACAGGCCCTCAGTCTGCACCACAGGCACATGGGGTGGGGACACTCACGGGGGCCGTCGAAGAGGGCCACTGCAGCATGGTAGTGCGCTAGTGCACGGAAGTGCTCGGCCTTGACGTGCACCAGGGTGGTCCAGGATGGGGGCACATAGTCTTGGACAGGTGGCTGGGCCATGGCCCGGTGCACAAGCCTGTACTCAGCTGCCACCTGCCAGCAGGCATGCAGGAACATTGGGGCCTCCTGCCCTCCCGGAGGAGCTTTTGCTTTGTCACACCCTGGGCCTAGTCTCTCTCTACCCCAAACCAAGTTCCTGAGCCCCAAGCTGAGCCTGACCTCCAGTACCCAAAGACCCAGGTTTCTGCTCTGATTTGTGTTGTCTCCCCAAGGCAGGGACTCAGGACCCCATGAACCAGGACAGTTGCTGGCTTTGGGGACTGACACAGAACAGACCTAATCCAAGTATGACCTGGCTCCCCGATCCAGCTCTGCCCCATCCTGTGGACCCCTTGCTCCTCTGGGCCCTAACCCCAGCCCTCTGCCCACAAGTGACTACAGGGCAGCCAGGCTGTTTAGGGTTCTGGGCAGGGTCCCCTGGCCTCACCTGGGCAGCCTCCTGGGCCAGGCAGTTGTGGGGGGTGGCAGGGGCTGGCAGTGAGAGGCCCTCAAAAATGCACTCCTGGGCCTGTGCAGCCATGAGCTGTTCCAATGTGGAGAGAGAGGCAGTGCTCATGTCTGGGCTCGGGGCGTGGGAGAAGTTCTCCCTCAAGAGGCTGAAGGCCCCTGTGAAATGAAGTGGATGCTCATAGTGGCAGGCCTTCCCTACGCCCACCAGGGTGGGCCACCCCAGGGACTCCCAGGAAGGGGAATGTGCCAAGCTCCTCATGTGGGGGCAGCCCACCCGCCCCAGCTCCTGCCCCAGGAAAGGAAGAGAGGTGGACCCACTACGGATCTGCGTTGCCCTCACCAGCAGCCCTTTGGAAGGCCTGGGCAGCACGGTGGGCACCCTCTGGGTGGGAGCGGTCCTGGCATGCCCCGATCTGTGTGTGGAGGGCGCCGATGTTGAACAGCACACTGCCTTTCTCAAAGGCCAGGGCCCGTTGCTGTGCTGGGACCCCCGTGAGTGAGTCATACCTGTGAGGAGCTCAGGCTGGGAGCAGTTCTCTGGAACCTTGGCTTCCTGTCCCCAGGGCACCCCCACCCCAGCCCCTACCACTGGAAGAGCAGCCCAGGGCTTCGAGCAGGGCTGAAGAAGCGCATGTCCAGGAAGCACAGCTGGTCATAGTAGGCCTCGAGCAGCTGCAGGCCCGCCTCATCCCGGCTGGGGGTCCGCATGGCCTGTAGGGCAGGAGTGGCTGGGCCCCACCACCCAGACCTCCCACTCACACACCGCCTGGGACTCCCCCTCCCCGCTTCCCTCAAGAACACTGGTGCGGCAGTCTCCCTGATGTCCTCCCCAGTTGCGGAGATTCCTGCCAGGTAATCATCCAGCCTGAGCTTCATCATCCCAAGCCTCAGTTTCCCCATCTCTGTCGGGGGCTACAGAAACAAGGGCAGAGTGGGGCTGGGAGTAGCCCACCCACCTGCCGTAGGCCCTCCAGCTCCATGATCTCTGCCTCGTAGGCAGCTCCGTCCTCTCCAAAGTGACCGGAGATCAGCTCCTGCAGAAGAACTGCGCTGGCCTCTGGGGTACCCAGTGCCTGGCAGTTTGCCCTGGGGAGGAAAGGTCCAGGCACAGAGCAAGCTGGCTGCCCATGCAGGACTGGAAGGGCTGAAGGCCTGGGTGTGTGGAGAGGTTTGGTGGCATCGGGACAGGTGTTGGGGTAGGCCTGCTCCTTGGCTCTGGGCCCCCTGCCTCTACAGAACTGGGGCCAGGATTCATGTTGGTGCTATCTTTACATGCATTCCTTTATTTATCCCACGGCAATCCCAAAAGACAGGTGGCATCTGTCACGTGGAGACTCAGACACTGATGCACAAGGTCAGGTCCTGTTCCATGAGACCCTGTGAGGCAGTGGCAGACACGACATGGCCCTGTCTGGGGTCTGAGCACCCCCACTGTACTTGGGAGGTGGCAGCTTTCACAGCACAGCCTCCAACTAGGTGTCCCTGAGCCAGCAGGCTCCTCAGCAGGAACACCCAGGACCCTGCAGTCGTCCTGGGGCTTCCAGCAGGGTATCCATGTCCCATCCTAGGGCAGGGCCCAAATCCAAGCCCACCCATCGGATCCACAGCCCAAGGTGTGGAAACCAAGTGCAGCAGAAGGAAGGAGGCTTGCCCAGGGCAGGACACCAAGTTCTTGGCCACTTCTGCCATGTCTCTGGGAAGCCTGAGGTCATCCCTTCCTCCTGCTGGGTCTCAGTTTCCTCATCTGTTCAATGAGTTGGCTGGACCAGGAAGCCTCTTGGGGCCCAGGGCAGGGTAGTGTCCCTCCATGCTCACAGGCCAGTGTGTACCTTCAGGGGTGTGGCCCAGTCCAGCTCCTTGGTCTCCTTCAGGCCCAAGGGGATCATGGGGACAGTGACACCTTCACTAGAATCAGAAGCATCAGCTCTGGATGTGCTCCCCCAGTGGCCTAGAGTCCACTCCCTGCCCCTCCCATAACCCAGACCCAGGATGCTTCCCTTAACCCACACATGCGTGCATCCCCACTTGCATATGCACCTCTTGGGCTGCTCCATGTCCACCATGCTGCTGAGCCCCTCCAGCTCCTCCTTCAGCAGCTGTAGGTTGGAGTTGACATAGCTCAGCTCCAGGGCGACTGTCTCTCGGACTTGGTTGTTGCTGGTTGCTCTGGGGGAGGTCAGAGGCGGTCAGAAGCCCTGGCCCACAGCAGATCTCATGACCCAGGTGCACTGAGGCCCTCCTGCCCTGCAGACCTCCAGAGCCCACCTCCCAGAGGATGTATGCTGTGAGTGAGTATGGTGGGCTACAGGCCCACAGTTGCCCTCCTGCTTCTCTGAGTCCTCCCCCTACAATCCATGGCCTCATGCAGAGTGGCTGCATAGGCTACATCGGCTGACATGGCCTCCAGGGAAACTCCCACACAACTTTGCTGGATAAGGGCAGCCAGACCCTTCTCTGTGTCTTTCAGAGGGACCAGGGGGTTCCTGACAACAGTGAGCTGGAGGCAGAGGGTGCTCAGGAGTGTCGAGTCCTGGGCTTACCCGCAGCACAGGCTGCCATGGTCAGTGTGCTCTGAGAAAGAGCCAGAAGACTCCCAGTTCCCAAGCTTTGGGATGTCTGATCCCGTGCCACACTGTGGCCTCTTTCCCCCATGCTGGCCGCACATGCACTGCTCAAGCCTCCCAAAGGGGATTCCAGTTTTGGACCCTAATCAGGGCTCAGTTGGTCTCAAAGTCTCTGCTGAGTAAGTATACTGCATGGCTGCGGGCACCTGGGTGGAGGCTGCATCACACCCATTCCCTCAAGCGGCCTTCTGGATTAGCCACCAGCAGACGCTTTCCTGGTTCACCAACTTGGCCCTGGCGCTCACGTCGGCCATGCCCACCCCTAGGGTGGCTGCAGGTGCTCACCTGTAGAGGTTCTCGGCACCTGTCCGCATCCGAAGCTCCTTGCTGATCTGCTGGTGGATCCAGGTTCTTCGGCTCTGCAACCAGCTGTGCTGAGTCTGTGCAGGGAGGCCACAGGAGGACACACTCACCCCTGAGCCCTGACCAGGGTGCCCTAAGGGAAATGGGCTAGAGTCTGTGAGGTGGGGCTGGCTAGGGATATGGGTGCCTAGCTGGGACAGGAGCTCTCCTCTCAACACTTCACAGATGTCAGACTCAGCTCCATCCTAGCCAGCTAAAAGGCCCACATATCAAGTACCTTCCCTGCATGGCCCATCCTCCTCTCACCAAGGACCCTCACAGTACACCTTGCCCACACTGATCTTAAACTCCTGGGCTCAAGCGGTCCTCCTGCCTCAGCCTCCCAAGAAGCTGGTATTACAGGTGCACACCACAGCAGCTGGCTTTTAAAACATGGGTGATTATGAATTTTTATTTATGGTGCTGGGATAGGTCCCCAGGCCTCGAGAATCCTTGGCAAGCGCTTTTCCACTGAATTGAGACTCTCCCATGGCCCACCTTTCAAGGCAGGGTGTGAATCTCTGCCAAGAAGCCATCCCTAATTAAGCTCTACTGGGCTCATGTCTCACTCTCTGGGGATCCCAGCCGGTCCATGCAGGGAGCCCTATCACTAAAGTCCAGGGCAGGCCCATCAACAAAGAGCTGGATTCCCATAGCACGGAGCCCTGGGTGGGCTTGGCTCCAGGGCTCTACCCACAAGGGTTTGTGGGGCAGAGTGGCCATAGGCACCAGGGAGCACAGGCACTGGGCGACCACAGGCTGTGGGCCGCATGGCTTGGGCAGTAGGCACATAGCTCTGTGAGGTGGAGAAAGGTGCTGAGATCCACTGTCCCTCTGCCAGCTCTGGTGGAATCCAGGTTCCTCCTGGATGACGTGAGGGAGGTGATCTGAGTTATTCCCGAACCCCTATCCCCAGCTATGAGCCCAGTCACAACCCATCCCAGCAATGCCAAGCAGTGAGGGTTCAGGGATGCAGTGCAGCCCAAGGTCACTGAGCCTCCCCCTGGAACTATTCAGAGCTTCACCAGGTCTGGGTTACTTGCTAGCACAGGAGATGTGAAGAAGGACTTCTCAGATGGTTCCTATGTCAATGTCCCCACAGTTACCAGCCCTCACGCAATGCCTTGAAGGACACTGTCCTGATGGCGTGGGCAGAGGGCTTAATTTGTACAGTGCAGCTTGCAATCTTAGCTTGGGGGCCCTGGCTTGTCCCAGCTCCTCCCTGCACTCTAAGGAGGGCCTTGTACCTCAGTTGGAGGAGGCTCCTGGCCTTCAGCACCCTTAATTAGGGCCCCAGATCCCCTTCCCTGGGCTGGCTTTCCAAGATCAATCAGTAAAGACTTTTTTGGTACCGGGGATCGAACTCCGGTCCTTGAGCTTTCAAGGCAGGTGGTGTAACCACTGAGCTAAATCCCTGGCCTCAGTAAAGACTTTCTATAGGAGGGGGCACAAGGGCTGGGACGGGAAGGCAAGGAGGCTTCAAGTGGTTCCTGAGAACCAAGGAGAGGGGACTCACCCTGGACAAACAGGGGCAGATGAGCAGTAGGCTGGAGTGCCTCCTGCCAGGGACCTGGGCCCACTGACGGAGGAGGGGCAGAGCAGACCCTGGCCTTGCCTCCTTGGCTGCCCCAGCAGCTGTCCTCCAGGGCCTATGCTGCTTTTCCATGACACTCCATGCCTGCCTGCACAGGAGGAGGCCACACGTTCTCCCCTCCATGGGACTGAGGATCTGGGGAGGGAGGGGGATCCACTGCCAGTGGCTAAACACTCCTTCCTTCTAAAAGTCCCACTGCAGGTTCTGAGGACTCTGGTAAGCAGCTAGCCAGGCTGCTATGAGGCCCTGGGCACTTCCTTTCCTCCCTATCCTTAGTGCACCCTGAAGCCTCCTAATGTATGTGGGGAGTGGGTGGAGGACAAGCAAGCCAGAGCTGGACCTGTGGGGCTGAGTGGACCCTAGAAGCTGGTGGCCCAGCCCAGTTTTCCACACCAGGCAGAGGGACATGCCCACTGGGAAGCGACATGGGTGATAGGGAACCAACCCACTTCTGGGACAACCTCCTACCCTCTGGAAACAAAGGCTACCTAGTCCCTCCCTTGTGCTATCAACTGCACTGTGACCATTGTCTCGCCCTATGCAAAAGGGTGAACCTATTATGGTTTCCAGTATCCCAACAAGGGTGTACCACCCAGGGGCGGGACTTGGGCCATTAGCCAGGGTGGAAAGGGATAGGGAAAAGAAAAACAAACACCTCCCATCCCCACCTAAGGACCCAGGGGCCTGGTGTCGGCAGTGGCCAGAACTGTTCCTGGGACTAGCGAAAGGGAGCGGACAGTTATCAGTTATCCTAGAACAGGCTTGGGAACAGCAAAACAGAGCAGGGCATCCCTATGCTTTCCAAATTCCCCCCAGCCGGGGAGGCTTCCTGGGAGAGGACCCCACCCTGAGAGACAAGCTTCCGCTTCCCAGTGCCAGGCCTTGGGCACCCTGCTTGCCAATGCCCACCTGTCTCAGGTAGCCCTGGCTCTTACCCTCTGTGATTTTACTGGAACACAGAGGACCTGGAGGCCCCACAAGGGTAGAAGCCCAGCACCTACCTCGTCAGCCACCTCTGTCCCCTAAGCAGTGTTTAGGGAATAGGGTCTAACAGGCATTGTTACAGAGAGTCTCCCAGAATACAGAGGCTACAGGCCACGTACATGAGAGTTGGACTACAGAGTGGCATGCACACTAGCCACAAGTTAGGGCAGGTGTCCTCAGGACTTGCCTCCTTTTATGCTCACTTGAGACACCTGAGCACTGCCCCACTCCAAGTGCCCAACCTACTGGGGCCAGGCCCAGGAATGTGGGTTTGTAACAAGCACCCAGAGCAGTGGTGGTGAACCTATGGCACGTGTACTGCAGGAGGCTATCCCTGGAAGCTCTAAAAGATTTGCCCTCACGGACTGAGAGCATGCTGTTGTCTCTCCAGGCAGGGGACCCTTGAGCTGACTGTCCGATGTACTGGAGAGCAGATGAGAGGCACAGCGCCTCCCTCCCTGCTGCTCTGTCCTTAGCTTCACCCACTGGCCTTCCCTGACCCCTCAGCCTCTTGACCTCTTCAGGAAAAGGTGGGTCTCAGCCAAGGTTACACTTCCCCATAACCCGGGCTGGCTGGGGGTCCTCCCAAGAGGCCGGCGCCCAAGGCTGGGGCTTCTGAGACACTGCAGTCCTTGGGGGAGGGCATCAGTGAGGACAACTAACTTGAGGTTATGACCAGGCCTCTTCATGTCCCTGGTGAGCAACTTTGGGCCACTTCCTCAACCAGGGCCAGCAGGGAAATCACATGGCTTGCTGGGTGTAGGATGAGCACTAACACACACCAATTTCACTAGGCCCAGCACCAGAGAGGCACTCACCGAAGGCCAGCTCTCCCTCCTGCTGCGGTGTACCCTAGTTGCACAGATCAGTGCACAGGGGCTACAGACCCAGGGATGGCCTTTACATAAACAGCTAACTAGTCTTATCCCATTCAACTCGGAGCAGAATGGCTGGTTTAAAGGCCTACTGGGAGGTATGGTCTTGCTTCTACAAGACTTTCCAGGTGTACGGCCTGCCAGGCTGTGTGGTATGTCTTAAGACTAGCCTGAGTAGGGCTGGGGCCCAAGGCAGCCTCCCATAGGTACCCCTAGCACCCTAACTGCTTCTGGGTCATACCAGGAAAGTGTGTGCAAACAGACGCAGCACGCCAGAATGACCATAGGAGATGCAGCCAAGGGAGGGCAAAGAAAGAGCCTGGTCACAGCCCACAGCATGAAAAGTGGGCCCTCTGAGAGTTCTGGCACATCTTGTTTGTACAACCTCCCAAGCATTCTTTCTACCCAAGGCAACATGTATTCATTCCAAAGGCCACTTTCAGGCATAGCCACCCTGTGAAGGAGGGTTCACAGAGGGCAAGGAATGGACAGGCCACTTCCTCTCTCCAGCACCTGTTAACTGCCATGGCATCTGGCATGCTGGGAGGTGGGCAGGGAGAGGGCCTTTGAGGGTCTGGCCTGCATCACGTGGCCAGCCCAGGTCCTGGCTGATGCCTCGCTGTTCTCCCCAGGAGACCTGAGCTTCAGGCACACAAAAGCTGAACGGAATCAGTGAGGTACTATGTGTAGTCTGACACCTAGGAGGAAGGACGGCAAAGTACCATGGCAGATGCTTGGGACAAATAACAGGAGTCATTCTGCTCAGCAGCCCTTGTAGGAGTGGCACCAACACTGGGGCACCTCTCATTGACCCCCAACACCCAAGCTTGGGCTGCAGAAGAGGCCTTCTCAGGCACAGACTGAACCGAACGTATTTCCAAACTCCACTGTCGCTTCCCCAGTGCTCCTGGAAGCTAGGTTACATTAAGCCCACGGTTAGGGACTTCAGAGGGGGGAGAGGGTGAGGAAAGTGGCACGAAGACAAACTGCCCAGAGATGATATCTAAGAGGCTTCAGCTACCTGCTGCTACAAGCTACATCAAGTGGGAACCCAGTTCTAGAGCACGTGCACAGGGCAAAGCTAGAAAGGAAGCTCTCTGGTTGCCAGAAACAAACCTGAGCTTATGCGAAGCTGTCACCGACCAGAACCCACAGCTGGTGCCGGGGTTCAGGGAAGTGACAGCCCAGACTCGGCTCCCACAGACTCCTGGGAGTTTCCTTCCCTCCCCAATTGGGACCTCTAAAAGGGGCGGGAAGAAGCCCAGAGAAGGGACACAGGCTCTCGAGTCCCCTTGGGGCCTCAGTTTCCCCAGTACTGCCATGCAGGGTGGAGTAGGGCACCGGAGGGAGTGGTCTGGAAGGGCGCACGCCGGGACGCGCCTCCGAGCACAGGGCAGAAGGCCGGGGGCCTGCAGCCCTCCTCGGCGACCCACCTTGAGACCGCTGTCGGCCGCCTGCAGCCGCGCGCTGTCCTCGCCTTCACCCTGGCCGTCTGGCCTCTCCTCCAGGATCATCGTCGCCCTGCTGAAAGCCAGCCCCGCGAGTGAATGAAGTCTTCCGGACGCCCGGGAGGGCAGCCCGCGACCGTAACCACAGCTCCTTAGCGGTCGCCACCGGTCGCAGATTCTTAGTTTCTAGCGAGAGGGGCGGCCTGGCGCGGTTGGGCGGTGGGTCTCCGCTGAGAAATTGGCCACTATCCAATCGGCGGCGGTAACTGCCCTGACGGACATCAATATTTACCAATCAGACCTCAAAGAAGGGGGCTCCGGGAAGTAGCCCCGCCCTACCAGTGGTGTTGGATCCAGTAACCCCTGGCAACCGCGGTCCCGGGCGCCGAGCGCAGTGCGCATGTGCACCGGCTGCAGCTAGGCTTGCAGGAAAGTTAAGAGAACACCTCGCAGGGAGCCGGACGGCTACGTGGGCGTGGCCACAGCCCTGAACCGACTCAGGGGCTTTATTCAGTAACCCTGGCAGCGGGATCTTCCCAGAGGACCGCACCAAAAATGTTTAGAATGGAGTTTTTAAATGGTTAGAGACTAGTGCCGTGGGAATTCTGAAACAATGCTTGCTTTCTTCCCTGCTCTGCAGAGTGGGGCTGTGCTCGGGGGCGTGGCCTCGGGCTGCCAGCTTCCAGAACCTATTTATAGCACTTGTTTCCAGAGCCTGATTCCTGGATTGACCTGTTTTCAGAACTCACTTTCAGAACAGGCTTGCCTCTAGCATCCACTCGTGGAATTGGATTTTGTCCAGAACCCGCGCTACGTGTGTGGCCCGCCCTGCACCGTGTCTTCTTGAGCTTTCATCAGCCTCTAGGTTCTGGCGACTCTGGCCACTCAGGTTTCATGTGGGTCCGCTTATCTGCGAACACACCCTTTGCAGGCAGTGACCCCAGTCCTCTTTGCTGAGTTCCAGGCCAGTTGTCCCACCCTGGCACTGCTGGCCTTTGCTGAGCTGAGGGTTTAATCTGCAACGCCCCCCCCCCCCCCCCTGTCATCCTCAGATCTAAATCCTGTGAGCTAAGCTCCTTGGCCTGCCCCAGCCAGCTGCAGTGGCCCCCTAGCGGCATTCCTCTCATCACACCCCTGCCAGCCACTCCAAATCCGATCAGGACTTGTCCTTTCTTAGTGGGCTTTTTGGGCCCTCAGGCATCTGCTCCCCTGCAGGTGCTTCAGCCTTCTGCCTGGACGGATCCCCACCTGTTCTCACTTCCCTCTGCCACGGATAGCTTCATGGCCGAAGTCTTTCCATCTTGTCCATCTTTCCTGTGGGCTTTGAACCTGGCCAACAGCTCATAAATTCAGTGAGTGTACAAGTGTAGGGACAGCAGCACAAATTATCTGGCATACCTGCCATTGTCCTGTACCAGCAAACAGGGACCCAAACCTCCTTAGTGTTTCAGACTGTCCTGTGTATACAGAAGGCATGATTAGTGTACTCCAGCAAGCGCGTGTGACCAAAATAGTGTCCAGTGCTTAAATACTCCTCTCACTTTCAGCAGTTCTGCAGGGCTTCTTGGTTCAGCAGGCAGGGGCCACTGGGAGACTGAAAATTCTAGACTCAGGTAAACATCAGATTGGAGCTTAGAATAAGGTCATTTTCAGGTATGGGATATGGCCTCAACATTCCCCCCCCCCCCCTTTCAGAAAGGCACAGATGAAGAGCAAAGAAGAGAGGGATTAAATCAGTGATACACTCGGACGTTTGGCAGCCAGTCCTCAGTGGGCTGGAGCCCTGTTTCTCGGAATTTGGGGTCATCACTTTCAACATGGGAAGAGATAGCCATGTGAGCCGGCCAGCACACTGACTGGGTGAAACCACAGGAGAGGAAGACTTAGAGACAGCTAGGGACCCTACGCAACAGGGTCCCCAGGAGTTGGGGGGCATCCAGGCTGGTGGGCTGCAGTTCAGAAAAGCCCAGGAAAGCAAAGTGATAGGCTACTTGCTGTGCCTGAATGCACTCAGATATCCTCAGTCAGCAGAGCTTGGTGTTGAACTGATGAAAAGTACACACCAAATAGTGCAATGATGACAGAGTAAGACAACTGTGAGCTCCAGGGAAAATGAAATGCTGTGAAAGAAATAGAAAGTAACCATTATGGCTTGGATGGAGCTTAGGGGTATGGCTCTTGCCCAGCATACACAAAACCCCAGGTTTGATCCTCAGCACTAGAAAAAAGAGTAATAATTGATTATTACTTGAGTCAGCTGTATACTGTAATTTTGTTTTTTTATTTTTTGTTGTTTTGTTTCTTGAGACAGGTTCTCCCTGTGTAGTACAGGCTGGCCTTGAGCTCTCTGTGTAGTCCAGGCTGGTCTTGAACTTGTGTTAATCCTTCTGCCTCAGCCTCCCAGTGTGTATCCATAGGTAATGTCTAAATTAGAAAAAATGTTCCAGGGCTGGGATTTGGCTTAGTGGTAGAGCATTTGCCTATCATATGAGAGCTTCAGGTCCTGAGTTTAATCCCCCAAACAAAACAAAGTAAAATGAAACATTCTAGAAGCAGGAAGAGAAGCAGGGTGAGTAGAGTTGTAGAATTAAATACTAGATAATCAGCTCAAAGAATTAGAAGGCCAATAAGGGGGGCAGGTGCTGTTTGCTAAGCAGGTCTTGCAGAACTACTTGGCTTTGGGCTGGGGATTTAGCTCAGTGGTTTCGCTGCCTGCTGCACAAGGGCAAGGACCTGAGTTCAATCCCCAGCACCAAAAAAAAAAAAAAAAGAACTACTTGGCTCATCAAACTATATGTGTGTATTATCCTCATAACATTAAGGTTGCCAGATTTTTTGTTGTTCTTGTTTTTATATTTTGTTTTGCTTTTGAGACAGGGTCTCACTATATAGTATAGTTCAGGCTGGCCTTGAACTCAATATGTAGCCCAGTCTGGCCTCAGCAATCCTCCTGACTCAGCCTCCCAAGTGCTGGTATTATGGGTGTGAGCCACTATTCCCAGCAACCAGGTTATTTATTTATTTATTTATTTATTTATTTAAACAGGATTCCACCATAGTTCAGGCTGGCCTTGAACTCACTATGTAGCAGGCTCCTGGGCTGGCCTTGGCAATCTTACTGCTTTAGCCTCCCAAGTGCTGGGATTACAAGTGTGAGCCACCATGCCTGATTTAGCTTGTTTTTTAGAGTAGATATCTAGAAATTGACAATTTAAAAGGCCAAGGGCTGGGCCGGAGATTTATCTCAGTCACTGCCTGCTGCCGCAAGCGCAAGGACCCGAGTTTGATCCCTGGTACCAAAAAAAAAAAAAAGGCCAAGGGCTGGGGATATAGCTCAGTGGTGCTGCACCTGCCTGGTTGTACAAGGTCCTGAGTTCAATTCCCAGTACCAAAAAAAAAAAAGGCCAAAATAGTTGGGTGTGGTGGCACATGCCTTTAATCCCAACACTGGGAGAGACTGAGGCAGGAGGATCTCAAATTCAAGGCTAGCTGGGGAAGTTTTTAGTTTTGAGCATGGTGAAAGATGGGGGTCTAGTTTTAATCTTTGGCAAGTTGAAATCCAGGTTTTCCAACATCATTTATTAAAGAGGCTATCTTTCCTCCAGTGAGGATGGTTTAGCCTGGCAGTTTTATTGAGACCTTGTCTCAAAAAATAAAGAGGAAGCTGGGGATGGTGGCACATGCCTGTGTTCCCAGCACTCGGGAGGCTGAGGAAGGAGGATCATCATGAGTTTGAGGCCAGATTGAACTAAATAATGAGACTCTGTCTCAAAAAAAAAAAGAGAGATGCAAGGATGTAGCTCAGTAGTGGAGTGCTTGAGTGTTGTAGATACTGTATTAGTAATTTAAGATTGGATCAATAAAAGAATTTGTGACTGCCATGGTCCTGACACCAAGTGAAATCTGGAGTACTCAGTGAGTTAAAGCCCATGAGATTGATATGGCTTGTGAATTTAGTGTTGTTCATTGTAGAAAGACACAAATGTGTCCAGTTAGAACTTTGAAGAAATGAGTTTGTTTAAGTCATCCAGTGTGTGGCACTTGCTATAGCAGGCTGAGTTAATTGACCCTATGTAAAGTTCAACTGCCTTGAAGCAAACAAACAAAACTTGAAATGGAAATTGAGGCATTTTCATTCACAAATGTGACAAGGAAGCCACTGAATAAGACATATACATGATCTATGAGGTGGATACAATTTTATTGAACAACTTAAAACCAGACTTGAATGGTTTAATGGACCATGTATCTTGAAAATATGTAATTCTATAAAAATGCCAGCTTTCCCTGAAGGTGTCTTAAAGGTTTCTATGCAAACTATTAAAAATGTTAGAAAAAATAGGAGATAATTTTTATAACCTCAGGGTTGAAGGAATATTGCATATCAAAACAGAAAATCCAGGTACCATAAAGGAAAAAACTTGAAAATTTTACCACATAAAAGTTTAATATTTCTGGCACCAAGTGGCACAATGCTGAAAGTAAAGCGTGATGTCCAGGCATGTGAGTGGCTGCACTGGATGGCAAAAGATGATGGCAGTCTGCACAGAAAAATTATGAAAACAGGATGTATAGCTCAAAAGTAGAATGTGGGTCCCAATATCCAGAAGCTCCTCCATCAGTCAGATTTGTAACAAAAATTAATATGAATGGAATAAATAATTCCAAGGGAATGGTAGATGCATGAGGAGGTCAGTGTTAGCAAAATGGCAAAATTTATGTACCATTAAAGTGGTACTTCAAGAGCTAAGATATTAATGATGTCCAAAGAAAGTAAAAAGCTCCCACAACTACTAGAAGGACAAACATAAAACAATTAACTTTAGTGGATCTTAAACTTGTTTTAAACTGGGTGTGGTGGCCTAAAACCTGTAATCCCAGTACTCAGGAGGCTGAGGCAGGAGGATCACCATGAGTTTGAGACCAGCCTAGGCTACATGTTGAGTTTAACCAGTCTGAACTACATAGTGAGACCCTGTCTCAAAACAAACAAAAACAAAAAACAAAAAACAAACAAACAAACAAGAACCTTGTCTTCAATCAACAACCTTTTACTCATATTAATGTCTTAATTAAATATCACAATGCAGTGCTGGGGCTTTAGGTTAGTGGTTCTGCCACCTGCTTCGCAAGGGCAAGGTCCTGAGTTCAATCCCCGGCACCAAAAAAAAAAAAAAAAACTAGCATGGTCCTGAGTTCAATCCCCGGCACCAAAAAAAAAAAAAAAAAATCTCACCCCAA